AATAGTGGACATTTATTTAAAGCATGTTGATTAGAGGCATTGGGGAAAATTAAGGTAGTTTCTATTAAAGTATGTCTCATAGTGATGAATGCATAGAGGAGACTGGGGATACCTAGATAGACTTTTTTGTTCCTTTTTAAAAGGTTACTGGTATCCTGGTGTTAGGTAGATAGTTAGGATCTCTGGCTCTTCTTAGGACAAGGGTTCCCTGATTTGGTGCTGTTTCAGCAATTGCTCCACCTGGGAAGAAAGATAAGGGCGGGTACTCCATTTTGGCACTGCCCCACCCTTAATCCTGTCCTGAGCAACTGCTACACCTGGGGAAGAAAGGAATGCTTTATCAACCTAGGAATTCCCCAGCCCAGGCATAAGATTTAGAAAGTGACCTAAAGTAACCTAAGGGTAATTAATATGCTATTAGCTTGAAACTGCATTGCTGTTCACCACGACCCCCCACCCCCGGCCGCAGGTGGGCTTTCTTAGAGGGAGCTCATACACACAGATGGAATTTTGAGGACACCTGTTGATCATCTGATAACATCCTACACCTCCCGAGAGCCCTCCTCCAGACTGGGCTAATAAAAGGAAACAATTTGAGAAGTCAGGAAGTAGTGAGTGGGTTAGCCAGTGAATGAGTTGGTGTTTCTCTCCATTCGTGGAGACAGACCCGTTTTATACTACAGCAAAGAGCTGCTCTTGTGAAACTGTTCCCTTCCTGAGGTTACTCTGTCGTATTGGACTTGCTGGTGACTTTTCCAAGAAAGGAGTCAGAGGACACTTTGGTGTGTCTGGTCATTTGGCAAGAACCGAGGGTAGACTCCCATCCTGACGTCTTTGGTGCCAAAACTGGTATTCTGACACTGGGACTACAAAAAATGTGGCAGCAATTAACAAATGATAGTTAAAATAATATCATAGAGCAAAGAGGAAAAATACCTCAGTTTTAGATGTTATATATAAATCTAAAAACTCAAATATAATTTTTATTATTTGTTAATACTCCCGGGAAACCTTCCATGCTATTTTCTGATAGAGACAATTTTATCAAAGTTTTATCTTTATTTAAGTCTTAGGAAATCTCTTAACTTTATTACAATATTATAATTATTGCTACCTGTATTCCAGGGTGCTTGGAAACATTTTCGTAAGTTAGTGATCTGTGGTTAGCCTGTATAATGATGTAAATCCAGCATCTGCATCAGACAGCCTTTTCTCTTTTCTCAGAATTTCTGCACCTTTTTGGTAACTTAAATGTCCCATGGAATAAATGGATTTGTTTCATAATGATTTTGCCAGTGGAGACATTGTTTGAAAGTTAAGAAGGAAAAGGATAAAACAGGAAAGGATGAACGTGTATATATATATATATATATATATATATAGCAGAAGTAGTGGTGGTAGTAGCCAAATTTGATTATGTGGCCAACAACAACAAGAGCTGGACATCAAGAAGAATGAGGGATTATGGCTTCTGGAT